TGCGAGAGACGAATATTTGCGCGGATTACGATCGAGCAGGATACGTTCACGGTGCGTAAATATCTTAACGAGTGCCGCGATAAATCGAGAAGATCGCGTAACGACCCGTCGGCTAATTTTACATGAGCCGATAATTATCGATACTATTACGAACGGGACGTTTTCCCGCCGGAGATCGGCGCGTATCTGCGTTTGTGCCACGAGCTAACGCAAATTTCGCAATTTCCGCTCTCTCGTGAAAGCGCTCATCGCGCAGCCGATGGAGAAGCCGATGAAGTAATAGAGACCTGGTTTAAAACCATTTGCTTTTAATTGGATCACTGTCGAACGGTGTGAGTGAAGATTCGCGTGAATCCCCTTAATGAAATAAAATACGTTATATATTCATTAGGTTAACGCACTGTTCATTAAGCGCCGAAATCGTCTCTGAATGACGACATCGCGTATTCATATTTTCTAACGCTGTAAAATCAGATTTCTCTATCGTCTTGTATGCAAATTGCACGGCAATTTGCATTTCGTAAGAATAAATCGTCATCACAAGTCTCAGAACTCTGAAAGATTTGAAATAATTTTTAATCAATATTTCCATCTATATACTGAGGGAAAAATTACTTTAAAATCAACAAATATTTGCTAATCTAAATCATAATATTCTAATCTTATTCTAAACCATATTGAAAATCAACACGAAAAAAGTAATTCGGATACATAATTAATTACATAACTGTAGGGATATACATAATAAAAATAGATATAATTATTGATTTTTCTTGAAAACTAATCAGGTTTCCGAGCGTCGGCTCCCACTATCATTAGAATATGTACACTGAGGAAAAAATTATCTTAAAATCAACAAATATTTCTTTAATGGGTGCCATTAACATATTTACTTAAATCTAAATTCCCTTTATTTAAATCAAATATTGTTTACCTGATTTAAGTAAACAATATTTGGTTTAAATAAAGAGAATTTAGATTTAAATAAGTATGTTAATGGCACCCATCAAAGAAATATTTGTTGATTTTAAGATAATTTTTCCCTCAGTGTACATATTCTAATGATAGTAGGAACCGACGCTCGGAAACCTGATTAGTTTTCAAGAAAAATCAATAATTATATCTATTTTTATTATGTATATCCCTACAGTTATGTAATTAATTATCTATCCGAATTACTTTTTTCGTGTTGATTTTCAATATGGTTTAGAATAAGATTAGAATATTAGAATAAGTAAATACGACAAAATATGAAGAAATCCAGCGACACAATTATTTTAATAGCGTGCATTAGTGTGCGTTTATCAGTACATATATGTGTATATACACACGTATACGTGTATGTATTACAAACACATATCTACACTGAGAGAAATTATCCGATAAAAAATTTACAAATAAATATTTTTGGTCAAAATATCGATGAATTTTTGTATCTGATCAGGAAACATCTGATGGAAAATATCGGTTTATAATTTTTTGGTCGGTTTATCTGATCAAATGCTATTATGATCAGAAGTATCGGATTAAATTTAATCGGATATCTTAATTGGATATAAAAATTGATTGGAATTTGATCAGAAATATCCGTTTGTTAATTTTTTATCGAATAATTTCTCTCAGATTTGCACAGATGAACCAAAAATGATTCATACATTGTTTTCCTCTCGCAGGATTTTTAATTTATTCGAAGAAGCTCCCTTTTTCTACCGTTTTACGAGCGGCGACCTGTACTTTCTACTCTCGCTGGTTGATTAGCCGCTTCTCGGCAGACGCAATTAGCACATGTGTAATGGATCGCTGTCAACGTCCGTGAAATGTGTCGAAAAATCAGCGCGACTTCCGGGTGGAAGCGGTAGGTGTCGAGGATCGTATCTAAGTAGCGTGCAAAATGCCGATCGTGAGAACAAATTGGATAAAGATTGCCATTCGCGGCGTTTAGAGAGACCAGAAAAGAGCCCATCGACCCTGCCGTGGAAATCTATTATTACATTGTCACGATTCTTTCAGCGATATGTGCATCATTAGACGATAACATCGCACGCACGCACGAGATGCATCGAAGTAATTACCGCGATTCCGTGTTCTTTGCTATTTGCTGTAATTGGAGTAGGAACGAAGGGCTCGGCGCTATAAGTAAATATAACGATACTTCCTTCGTTTTTGCGGAAATTCCATGACATATCGATGTTTTTCTATTCGTGGTTAGTAGATGTGTCAAATGGCGTTTTTTTAAAAATAGACAAAAAACGCGGCTTGCATTCGTTATTACAGAGTCATAAACATTCAAACGCTTCTCCGGAAAAGTTTGGTTATTGATGCTTGAGATAGTATCATGGAATGAGTTTCGCGAGAATTTGATGAAATTTGCACTAGATATGTAGTGGAATAGTCCTCTTTATTTTTTACTTCAGCTTACAATGCCAGGAAGGAAATTGTATGGGAAGTTCTTAGTTTTACCTTAACCTTATTTTACATTTTTTCCTACACCCACTTCTTCTTTTCCTTTTCGCCACTTGTCTTATTTATTTCTTATCCTACTTCTTTCCTTTTACTTCATATCCTAAATATTTCTTATCCTATACGATATGCAGTGGAATATTATCTGACTGCTCGTGCAATTGGAAAATGATCGAACAAATGATTTTTTTGTTTAAAAAATGTTACTTAATACATTTGTGTTAAACTAAAGTATTTATGTTATACTAAAGCATCGGTACAGTCCGTGACGCGATCTTAAAACGTTACAACTTTCGGCATTCCGTTTCATCAACAAATTCATTTCGCAATTCGAAGAGAAATTTTCTTATAACATCTTGGCAATAATTTACATAATACAATTCATCTCATTTGCAATTTACTGTATAATATAATTCATTCATCTCACTTCATTTTAATCACTTTAATAGTTTCCAATTTATTTCATATGTAATTGATACTAGCATTGATTTTCGCACATTCTCGCTCACATTGTTTATTTTATTTCAGTTTTACGTCCTGAGGTGTTAGTTTCGTAAGCCGTTCTATATTCGAACTTTATGTGGACGACTTTCTATCAGTCCCGCCTTCTTGACTGCGACCCGTGCCAGTTTTCGATGTACAGCTGGGATAAAAAATGTTTCTCGCAGATGAGATTCAGATATGTATGGCATAGAGGAAGAAGTGTTGAACCAAGATAACTTTCGAAACGATCACGTGTGCAATTTTTAAGAGCTCGAAAATAATATCCCATCTTTAAGATAATGCTAAAATATTTGACGTGGTTTACTTTTGAAGAAATCGAATTTACTTCTTAACGCGATCCATGTCGCGTGAATCAGCAGAATAATTCGTGTTGTTGAATTCTTACAAATTTATTACATTTATATTTACCTTTATACAAATATTTGAAAATTTAGATTTAGGAATTATTTACATAAAAACAATTCATTACACGAAGAAAAATGAAAGTTCAAAATAGGTTACAAAACAAATATTTTTATTTTAACAACTTCAACGCAACGTGATTGAAAAATCGTTATAAAATTCAACGTGATACGCGAAATATATTAAAGAGATATGTTAAAACTTGGAAAAAATAAAAGTTTCAAGGTGTTAAAGTTATAAAGTATTGAATCATAAGATATATAGACTAATATGCATAGATCTGGTACAGAAATGAATTTAGCAATGCGGATATAATTTTTATGTCTTACTTGATAACGAAGTCTGAAAGAATTTAACGTCCATACGTTGCAAAATAATCTATCGTCCTGGAATTTGCCGCGTTTGCGACATGGAATGTAATTAAATGCGCATGTGTCAAAATGCCTAATTATTTATGTTGCCCGCTTACTCCTTTCTAAAGCCGAGCAGTGTCCGATTATCATCGTTCAGATGAGTGCGATGATCCGCAAAAACGCAAATCCTTTCTACTAGGTTATTAAGAAAAAGAAATACGAAGACGTTAAGAGACCAATAAATAAACAACTATCGCTTAAATTTCCAGACGTTTTACATCGGTGATTTCTAATCTTTTACAGCTTGATGCTTTATCGCTACAATAAATTTTGAAAAATGCTTCTGGTGTTCTAGGAAGTTATGGAACTATTCGATAGTCCATTTAAATTGTAAATGCTGTGTTGAACAATATGATCCATATGTAAAATACAGCATCCGAGGAAGTTTCTTCGCGAGGAAGAGCACGTTATAACAAATATATTATTAGGATTTCGGTTGATTTTAAGGATTTTTTGACTCAAATCGTATTTATTAAAAAAGAAACGACAATTGTATTTCAATCAAAATATTTTCCACCGTTTGCTACAACCTTTTCCTATCTTTCTGGCAATAAGAGGATACCAATTTACAAGTTACCTTACTTACTTAATTACAACTTGATACAAAAACTGCTTTTCAGTGCCCTGAAAGCAGTGAAACGCAAATGGTATAACGACTTTATATAGACAACTCGGGCAACTCATGTAGAATCCATTTTCCTTCCTCCTGAATATTTTCCATAGCTTTTTAACGATCGTACACAGTATTACCAATATCCAATGTTTCTATGCTTTGAGTGTTTGAGTTGAATCTTCATCCAATAATGCCTGCAATTCTTCGTAATGTTAACCTTCAAAATTAATCGAAACATCTAGAGAAGAACATAAAACTTTATTAATACTTTCATTATAAGAAAGAACATATGAGCCAAGAATACATGCCTTTTCCTAATTAATTTTTCTATCAAATCCTCCGATACGTTAAAAATATAATTGATGTTGAATCTTCATCGAATTCAGACTTTTCACGAAAGTAATAATTATTGAAAAAGCGATCCTGTTCCCACAGTTCTTATTTGAATGTGGCTGCCGGGGTACAGCAGAGAACTGCAGTTGCGTTGGAAGTTAGTGCGCGCGACGACAGATGGCGCAGCGTGCCTGATGCTAGCCGGAGCTGCTCGCCGTTGCTAGCGTCAGTATTTTCAAATATTACATGCCGTTTTGCAATTTGCTCATACGTGATGAGAAAGTCGCGGAATAACGTTTATCTTGTCCTATCGAAATATATCCGTGTTGTGGGAGAACGCCGAAGGGAACTCAGGAAGGAAATGGACACGCTCAACTCTTTCTCAATGAACACCAACCATCAGTAACATCCCAAGCATAACCGTAAAAAGGTAAGTGACAAAAAAGATCAAGTGCAAGGTTCACGGCGAACGGAGAGGTTAATAAATCTCCATGCCATGTCGTAATGCAAACTCCAAGTACACTGAGAGAAAAAAATAGTTGGAATAACTATAATCTCACTATATTTTATAGTTCGTTTTGGCCTCAAACATATATTTATAGTTCATCTAAATATGAAGATATAAGTAGAATGAACACAGATTTATAGTCACCATCTTATTATTCTATATATATGGTACAGCACTTTTTGGGAATATAGTTACATGTATCTATATTTGCCAAATATTCCAATTGTATTGACTATATAAAATAGTTAATTTCTCTTACCATTTAATATTTGCTACCTTACTATATTTTTTATTTCAAATAATTATAATTCTTGGTAAAAATTTTACACGGGTCAGTTATACCATGCTTATATTGTAAATATTACAAATATTATGGTAACATTTACTATAAAAATTATATTCCTAACTATAATCTTTTTACTATGCCATTATAGTTCCAAATATCATATATTTTTCTCTCAGTGTAGAACGAAAGATCACAATAACACAAAAAGGTCACTTTTCGGTCGTGATTTAGTCATTTTTTTGTCATTTTGATGTTATCGTGATTTTTTATCTGTTCTTCCTGGCGCCTTGCAGTTTGCATGCATCTGTATGGGATGAAAGCGTTTTAGAGAATAGAAAGATCGGTACGTCAGACATCCACTTATCGATTTTATCTCGTAGAACAACTTGTAGGTCGATGTTAAATCAACAATAAAAAAGTCGCTAGAAGCGGACCTGAATTTCACGGTCGGTTAACTTATCAGTCTTTTATCCGATACATCAACATATACATGAAAGCCCTACGAATCGTGAACAGATGCGTATGGTATTTATTTGTTTGCATTGGTCCAGGTAGAACAAAAATCACAATGACGTCAAAATAATGTTAAAATGACAAGAAAATTAAAAGTGAAAATATCCACTTTTTATTCACGATTCGATCATTTTCTCGTCATTTTAACATCACCGTGATTTTTTGTTCAACTTGGATGTTTTTCATTTTTGTTTTATACTGAACGTCCGAACAATCACATTTAACCATAAATTTCTCGGATAATGAATAATAACAACGAAATAAGATATATTTTAATATATATTATCAAGATATATTTCCACTCTACCTCCCTTGAATGAGACAGTTAATAAGATAATGCATGAATAGATTTATGCTAATGGCAATCAAAGTGAACGCCACATTAAAGTGTCGTACTTGAAAATTGCAAAAATTAAAGGCTAGTTAAAGAAATTTAAAGAAATACATTGCTTTGTTCTGGATTTTTTAAATTTCTTTAATTTTCCTTAATTAATTCAATTTCTTTAGTTACATCAATTTTTTTAAATTAACTAATTAAAACTAAAAAAATTAAACTAAAGAAATTAAATTAATAAAAAAATCGAAGAAATTAAATTAATTAACGAAAATTAAAGAAATTTAAAAAATCTAAAACAAAGCAATATTATATTTTCTGCTGTATAGATTTATTGAATATAAATATGTTTGAGTAAAGGGAATAGAAACACAATTAAATGCATCGTTTTGTATCGACTGAACCGTCAAAATAATAACTCTCAGTTTTGTGACAGTTTGATGAGCCCTCTGCCATTTTACATTGTATTGAGACTGTTTTGCAACCTACTGTACATAAAAGAATACGACGATATTATATAAGTAGATAAGCAGGCGTATCTTGAATCTTGAAGAATGTTTTGACGAAATTAAGAGGCTGAGTATCGCGGAATAACAATGATGAATGGAACGAAGTAATCTGAATAACAACATCGTGAATAAATGAACCGCGCATTAATATCGAGTACGAGTGTATATACCATTATACCATTCGATAACTTCTTGTCGCTTTCCGAGTCGGATAAAATCCACGTGGATACAATTTATCTCAGAAACAAATAAGCGATTCCGACAGTCGTGCAAAAAAATGCTTCGTGCAATCTCGCTCGATCAAGGAGAAGCAATTTGCTGACTGCGATACCCTCTCCTCTATCACGTCGAACTTTGCCACTTTATTGCGCAATCGACCAAGCAGAAGAAACGAACTCGAACTCGGATCGCTGGTGCATGTGGACCGGGATGACTCAGATAATTTACGAGTGAAGAAAGCTCTTCTTCCGGAAATTCTCCGGCTCTCTTCCTCCTCCTATTCGGTCCTACGGCATTGATCGCAGTCTCTGCTGGAAAGCAGCGATTCCGCAACGTGACTCATAACGACACTACGTCGAGATTCAAGGTCATCGATCCGCCCACCGAACGCGCCGTCGCATAGACGAGACGTTTCTTCTCGTCGTCGTGGGAAAAGTAGACGACACGAGAAAGTTTTAGGAAAAATTCGCAGAAACCATATTTTCGAATTGCATCTGTCCGTCTATAAGATTGGTAACAGCAACAGTAATAACGGCTACACAAAGTATAGTGAGAATAATATAATAATAATGATTTCTACATTTAAAAAAAAATCATCATCAATGATGAAATGATAATAATCAGCGACGATATGAATAATGAGAAATGATATAGTGACATGATATATACATTTTTAATTATTAATTAATGAAAATTGGCGAATAGTCACTCACGATAATATACTGTTATCTAATTAATAACTAAAAATCTATGAGTTTATTAGGAAAATACAGAACTTTTTTGTTTAGTGATTTAATGTACGAGCACAGAATGGCAGACGTCGCCACTAGAGCTCATCTACTTGCGTGATCATTATCAAATTTTCTTTAATTGATATCTCGGTAATTATTGCGAATATCGCAAGACGGTATAGGACTTTTATGTTTATCTCAATCTGTATTATGCTTCCGCGAGAACTTCGAAGGTTGTTCTGAGATACTCTGTATGCAGGGCCCATCAACGAAATTTTCCACCCCGATTTTTCTGTAACTAATTGATTTTTGTCAAAAATGCCATAATAATACGTGTTATTATTACGTGTTTTTAAGGGGATCGTATGATTATGATAAATTCATATCACTTCATACATACACACGTACATACATACACACACACTTACATTGAAAGAAAAAATATTAATGAAATAAAAGATATTCACATTAGCTGTAGACACTGTATATACGAGTATATAATAACATATTTACTTTTACACTAATTTAAAATATTCTTCAAACAAGAAAATATACATTTCTTTTAAGTCTTTCATGAAAGTAATCGTTTATTCTATTTAAATAAAAGAATTTAGACTTAAGTAAATATGTCATAAGTGCTCACCAAATAAGTATTTTTCATTTTTCAGATAATTATTCGCTCAGTATAATAACGAGCAATGCGCGGTTGTTTTGAATTGACTGAAAAATGAGAAAAGTGACACACACTTCAGTTTTTCAAGCGACATTAGATTTTCTTCGCGATACGCGCGTGTACGCGTACAATCCGATTGAATAACAGTAGAGATTTTTTTCTCGCTGAAAGTGCAGCATAAGTGTTAATCGTCGTCATTAACGGAACAATAGTTGATATTTATCTCATGGTCTAATGGAACTCGTGCCTCGTGCAGGTATGTGTCGTCGCTCAGTTTGAGGGGTAAGACGCAGGTTAAACTTTAAAGCGACCCAGAAACCGAATGCAACAGGTGGCGGCAGGTAGGCAACGGGGGATGGCGACCCGGTGACTCATGGGGTTGCTCCGAGAATGTTGATCGCTCTTCGCAATCCCCGCCGTCTTTACCTGGATGACTCACATACCACTTGACACACATACAGACACGCTGCTACAGACACGTATTCTTACGCTCGAGGAAACATGGACCCACTTTTTTCCAATCCGCCCATTCAAAGCAACCATTGGATAGAACTTTCTTTTTCTCTCTTCTCCTCTCCTCTCTCTTATCCGCCCTCGTGTGTCGCACCGTCCTCATTGAAAACCCATCCCTTTCGTCTTTCAAAAAATGCTGCGGGAACATCTTTTCCACCTTGGAATGTAGCGGTTTTATTCGGGACCGGTTATATACATATATATATTTATTCATAAATGCATACAGAAAAAACGGGAAACTCTCAAAAGGATTTTGATGAAAGAGAAATAATGTGCCAGAAGAGTTCTGATTGAAAATTGATGTTAAAAAGAAAAAAAATTGTATATAACATACGAATTTTTATACACGAAAAATGTTAGAGAATGTTTTGTTTTTTATATAAATTATTTTCAATTTTATCATGTTTCTAGTAGTGCAAGAATCACATAACAATCTTCTTTAATCTCAATATATGAAATTTTCTTTAAAAGAAAAGATTTCTTTAAAATTAAAGATTTTATTCCAAAGATTTTCTTTATACAACGTACAAATTTTTATACATGGAATGAATTTTTATACATGAAATGATTTTGTTTTTTATATAAATTTCTTTGAACTTTACTATGTTTTTATTAGTGTAAGAATAGAGATTTCTTTTGATCTTCAAAATTTTTTCAAAAACTAAAGATTTTGTTTATAAAATATATATATATATATATATATATATATATATATATATATATAGACATCGAAATAATAATATAAATTCTTTTTTATATAAATTTTTCTCAATTTTACTATGCTTCCAGTGATGCAAGAAAATTGACAGTGTGAAGTTTTGAGTGTAAAATTCTCTTTATGTGAAGAAACGAATTTTTCTTATATAACTTGCGAATTTCACTTGTGCGTAGAACTATTTTCATCGAATTGAATTTTCTTGAAATGCACAAGAAAGATCGCACGAACGTTTTTAGTCAGCAGAATTGCATGTGAATTTTCGCATTTTACTTATACCTCCAACTCGCCAACGAATGTTTTGCGACAAAGCAATCTTGTGCACTTTACAACAACAGCATGTAAGACGTATCGATTGGTTCTCTTCACGATATATGATTCAATGGTCAGTAGTGCCGCGCACGTAATGGCAAAGTAGTCAATCGATAA